CGGCCCCCGCCCCGGGTGTCTGCCGGGGTCAGCGCCGTGGCCGCGCCCCGACGTGAGCCCGAACTCGTTCTTTCGATACGAAGGAGAGCGGAAGGGAGGACGGAAACACGGTGAGGAGCCCGCGCCGGGGCAAGGCTGGGCGGGCGGTCCCGGGGCTGCAGCCTGGAAATACCTCCCTGGAGCTCTAGCGCGTCTTCACCGGATATTCCCAGTGCAAAGAAAGTCTGAATTAGGAGCCGCCTGGGCCACCCTCCGCGCGCTCCCCGGCGACAGCGGCGACCCTCCCGGGGTCTGGACGCTCCGGCGTCTACGCTCGCGCGGCTTCACGGCCTTTGGTGGATCCTGCCCACGTATTCTCCCCGCGTTTGTCCGCTGTAGGTTTGTTCTTCTGGCATTTTCTCGTACGCGCTGACTGTCAGAGCATTCTGTGCTTTTAACCTTTTAACTTTTATTGAGTGTGTTTACTACACAGAGGCTCCGCATTTTTGTGTTAATATCCAGGATTCCCTTCATCCAGGCTGGGCATGAAGGCTCATATTTAACACGCTGTCGTCCCAGCCTGGCCTGGAGAGGGTCGTTCCCCCTTTTTAAAAGGTGTTCTTCGGTGTTTTGGTGTGTTCTCCAGACCTTCTCTCCTCTGTCCTCACGGTGACAGAGGCGCCGTGATCGGAGTGTCCCCTCTGAGGAGGTTGGGGACAGTGTCTCCTCTGCACTTTTCATTCTTCTGTAGTCGTGTGACCAAGAAAGCAGGTGCTCAGGGATGTCTCAGGGATGTTTTGAAAACTTTTTTTTAATGAAAGTGGAGTACGCGGGTGAGGTTGCAAGGAGCCCATACGCATAAGTCAAGTGATGGAGCCAAATACAAGAAGCGGAGAATTTTGAAGCCAAGCTCTTCACTCGGAAACAAGCCAGACCACACGTGGGCTCATTAGCCTCACTCCCAACTGCTGTTTGACTTCACTTTACTATTTTTTTTACCAGGTCGTGGGAAGCTGCTGTTTAAAGATGGAAGTTACTACGAAGGCGAGTTTGTGTAAGCCAGACCACACGTGGGCTCATTAGCCTCACTCCCAACTGCTGTTTGACTTCACTTTACTATTTCTTTTACCAGGTCGTGGGAAGCTGCTGTTTAAAGATGGAAGTTACTACGAAGGCGAGTTTGTGGATGGAGAGATCACAGGAGAAGGCTGCCGGCACTGGGCCTGGTCAGGTTAGCTCTGGAGATGGGTGCCATGTCATCTCCTTTTTCATAAACCATCCCAGGCCTCCGTTGGTCCTTCGCTTCTGGACACAGAAGGCTCTGTGTGTAAACAAGGGGTCCCTGGTTCCCCTAATGTGTCTCACAACAGCAGCATGCCAGGCTGGCCTTATGCCCATGAGGCCCCTGGTCGAGGTTCTATGCTCAGCTATCCAAGCAACTCTGGCTTCCCGTAAACTCTGTGATGGGATAAAGATGTATCAATCCGAAATTATATTGTTTCCTTTTTTATTTAAAGTTATTTCAGCTACATTGTGTCTTCAGATGAGAAAACTGCTCCACGCCAGTTGTGCTGGGGTGTCTGCAGGAACCTCAGACTCTCACAGGCAGACGGGTGGTGGGTTCTCAGGCTCAGCTTTCAGTTGGTTTTTAAAGAGCCCGGGGAGAAGGCTCACCCCGCAGACTGCCACCCTGGGAGACCTTTGTCCTCATTAACCAGACCAAAGAGATGCTGCCATTCACTCTGAAGTGGTACCTGCAGCCACCACTGGTCATCACGCTGGGGATGCAGGAAACAGCTCTGACACTGAGCCACCTCTTTTCCCACTTCTTCTGATCTGCACCCAGGAAACACCTACTCAGGACAGTTCGTTCTGGGAGAGCCTCAAGGACATGGAGTCATGAAGTACAAAGCTGGTGGATATTACGAAGGGGCAGTCTCCCATGGCATGAAGGAAGGTCTGACACCCCTGGGGACTTGTCGGTGCTGACCGCCGGGCAGGGGGCTCTGGGGGAAGCATAGAATCTGATTCCGCTCAGGTTTGAGAACGACTGCGGTAGCTGGGAAGGAAGGTGGGGGTGGGGGGTCGCGCCCTCTCCCCCACTAGGCCTTGTCCAGAGCAGACAGCACCTCGGGCACTGCGCGTGCTGCTGTGTCCTGTGGTGCTTGGGTATCCACGCTGCATAAGAGAACACGCAGCTGAGTGCGTCAACGGCCTCCCTTTTTTTGGTTCCTTATTTGATCCTGGGGTCAGCCATTTGGCCTGGCTCTGCTGGGTGGGCTGTGATCTCATAGGGGTCACTTACATGGCTGCAGCCACAGCAGCTCTGACAGGCCCGGCAGTCTCAGGACCTCCACAGGGGGAGAAGCTGCAGGGCCTTGAGAGGCCACAGCTCGGTCACTTCCCCATGTTCTGTGGCCAGCACAAGTCAGGAGGCGAGATTCGGGGGGAGTGGACTCCTCCGTTCAGCAGGACAGGAGCCGGCACGTGGCCCTGCCCCAGCCCGGAGGCAGCAGAGCCACAGCGGCTGTAAGAACACCACACCGGGAACAGGTTGAGCCAGTTATAACACCTGCACCTGTAGATGCGACTTCCTTTCTTCTTCCAGTCTGCTTAGCATTAAGAAGTAGAAGTGTCCTTGAATTTCTGAATTGTCCAAAATCTGAATACAACACAATTTAATGAAGCCATGTTGTCCATTTTTTCTCTGGCCTTTTAGTTGAACATAGTTTGAGTGGGTAATTCAGGCCAAGCATCTCTTTTCTCGCTAGGAAGCAGGAGCAAGGGAGGTTCTTGAAAACCTAAAAGCAAACATGCCATTAGACATTAATTGCACAGCAGTGTTATCCCAACCAGACAGCAGAGCATTTTCGTTCTTGAATGCTGGGGCTGAGGAGCTCCCTTCAATAGCGTCTCCCCCCATCCCCAGCCTTTGAGATCTGGATCCAGGGGCCACATTCACAGACCCCACGGGCTACCCTGGCAGTGGCCCCAGCACTGTCCCTAATCACACATGCCATTCCCATCCCGGGCAGCATGGGACAGTCCCAGGGCCTCTGTGTAGCCCAGCCTAGAAGGACAGTCTGGCTCCGAGAGGGGCTGCTGAGCCCCAGCCTCTTCCTGAATGCACCCCCTTGCCAGCACCCTCTCCTCCATGGAGGGGCAGATGGAGGGGTTGTGGGTGAAGTTCTTTCTGGCAGGCGGGAGGGGCTGGGAGTGGGTCCATCCCTGGCTGGAGGCACAGGACAAAGTCCGTCTCTTTGGGTTCCTTTGCCAGGACACGGGGTCCTGGTGGACCAGGAGGGACAAGTGTACCAGGGTTCATTCCACAACAACAAAAGGCATGGCTGGGGGCAGATGCTCTTCAAGTGAGTATGCACCTTGGAGGCGGTGGCCACCAGCAGGGGGGACTGGGAGTGTGGGTGGGACTGACTGTAGAAACCCCCCCAGTTCCAGCCTCTGCTGGGATACCCCCCTCCAGTGCCCAATCATGTAAGAACATTCTGTATTTTTGGTGTTTTTCTGTAATTTCTCCCTTATTTATTGAAATTGATTGTGTATTTAGTAGAAAAAACATCAACCCCCTTTCCCCCACCAAAAAACCTGTGGGAGAGTCAGGCTGGTAAGACAGTGGAGTGCAGGGGCTGGTCCAGGCTTGAACAAGGATGACAGGACGCCTCCAGCCAGCAGAGCCCCTCCCCTGCAGGCCCGTGTCCGACGTCTTCGCCTGTGCTCTGATTGTCGAGGGGATTCTCACAGGCGACGTCTGCCACAGGGACATGCACATGCTCTGTTTCTTCTCCTTTATCGTTTCCCATTTTGAGTAGCAGGAGCTGAGCACGTCCTGAGCAGGGCCAGCATTCACCAGAAAGCAGGTCCTGCCATGAAGGGTGGGGGCAGGCGGGCAGACACGTCCCCACTGCCACCAGAACCGGCCGCCTGTCACCAGCCCCTGGCAACGCAGGAGCTCTTGGGGCCATCTGTTCAGGGCCTATTTTTGCCTCGGTCCCGGTGGTGCGTGCTGAGCCCGGCTGGCGGTCCACAGCAGTCACAGAAGCCAGTCTGAGTCACTGTTGCCACCTGCTTTTGCGGGCTAAGGCGGCCTCTGCACTCATGTCCCTAGGAACAGTGACAAGTACGAAGGTGACTGGATTCGGGACCAGCGTCAGGGACACGGGATACTGCGCTGTGCTGACGGCTCTACATACGAGGTATCCAGAAAGGCACTCGCACTGCTGTCTCCACAGAGGGGGTCTGCGGCCGGGCTGGGGGCTGCAGGCACTTGAGTGAGCCTCGCCCTGCCAGCGTCCTCACAGTGGCAGACGCGGGGGCAGCCTCTCCACCTACCGCCCTCCACTTCCCTTGACAGCCTGTGGGGGAGACACGTTTCCCTCTACCCTTCACGGTTCTCGGTGGGGTGGAACCGAAAGCCAGGTTCACAGAGGAAGCAAGCAGCCGTGAGCAGCGTGTGCTGCGCGTGTGCTGCGCGTGTGCCGCGCATGTGCCTCGCGTGCGCCTCGCGTGTGCATGGGCAACGCCTGGCGAAATGAGCACACCTCAGAAGGGCTCTGAGTTCTAAGCAGCCGTGAGCAGCGTGTGCTGCGCGTGTGCCGCGCATGTGCCTCGCATGCGCCTCGCGTGTGCCTCGCGTGTGCATGGGCAACGCCTGGCGAAATGAGCACACCTCAGAAGGGCTCTGAGTTCGGGCCTCACGTACCTTTTTCAGCCGAACCAGTCAAAGAAGGGAGTTGGGAGCCGATAATGGAAGGTGCCCAGGCAAAGCAGGTGAACTGGTACAGTGTGACACGGCTTTCAGTCTGTGCCGCCTCTGTTGACAGGTCGCCAGTGATTTAGAGCCCGCACTCTCTTCCCGGGCCAGAGAGGAGACGCCCTCACAAACGAGTTTCTTTATAGACATATGTTTCTCTTACAAAAGGGATGTTTCTGTTTTCAGAGCTTCTCACCCTCTCTTCCCGGGCCAGAGAGGAGACGCCCTCACAAATGAGTTTCTTTATAGACATATGTTTCTCTTACAAAAGGGATGTTTCTGTTTTCAGAGCTTCTCCTGTGTCTGCAGTTTTTCTCAAGTAACCTGCTGGAAGTAATCCTTAGGCCAAAGAGGCCTCTGAGGGGTGGCATATTGTGGTCTCCTGCAGACCCGTGAGGAAGAAACTGTGACTCTTCCCGTCTTACTGATGAGAAAACTGAGGCTCAAAGAGGGTAACTCAGTTCCCGGGACGCAGCTGATGCCTGGCCCCACTGCCTTTGCATCCAGCTCTTCTGATTCCTGGAACCACCCAATGACCATGACCCTGTCGCATTGTGGAAATGAGATTCACCTCTTGGAGGATATGGGTCTTGCTCTGTGAAGCATTTCAATGAGGAATGCCCTAGGGTCAGGGTGGCCCCTTGATAAGTGGGGAGCAGGTGACAGTACCCCCTTCTCCCCTCATGAGCAAGGCTGCGGCCCTCATTCACCTGGTCTCTGCAACAGGTGCCCCCTCTCCTGGGGCTTTAACAGTGGATGTCAGGCTCTTAGAAGGTAGGCAGAGGACATTTAGGCATATAGGAAGACTTTTTCAGGCCCTCAAAATCCCTCATTTTTTTTTTTTACTGGACACTGACCTGTGTGCCCAGAGCCAACAGCCAAACAGAGCACAAATTAGTGTCCCAGGCAGTTCCTGTCATCCTGTGAGGACACAGCTGGATGTTCAGAGCACTGGGCCAGAGGCTGGTGGGTTAGCTCGGTTGGGTAGAACACAGCCCTGTGACACAAAGGTCACAGGTTCAGATCCCCATACCAGCCAGCCGCCAAAAAGTAAATAAAATAGAAATAAAGTTAATAGAGCACCAGACCCGTTGGGTTGGCAGGGAAGGCCTCTCAGAAATGTAGCTGTCTGAGCTGAGGCCTGAGTGATGAGGAGGAGTGGCCACTTGGGGACCAAAGGGCACTCCAAGCAGCGGGCAGAGCGCGGGCAGAGGCTCAGAGCATGGCGTGAAGGGGGTGGAGAGAAGTCGAGGCCAGGGATCCAGGCAGGGCCAGCTCGTGGGCCCTTGGGGTCACAGAGCAGTTGTTTGGGAGGCAATGAGGGGCTGGCCTCTTGTCTGAAAGGTCCCTCTGGCTCTTATGTGGAGCGGAGGGGGGTGCTGCTGTCTTTCAGAAGAAGGCTGCGGAGGCCTGCAGGAGGGTGCAAAGAGCAAACCCAGGATGTTTGAAGGTAGAGTTGCCAGACTTATCGGCAGATTGGATGTCAAGGCTGAAGCAAGACAAGAATCGAGACACCGCCTGGATTTTTGGCCTGAGTGTCGGATGGACAGTGGGACATGCTCCAGATGCAGTCAGGAGACATACACCACACCAGTGACTTCAACGGGGAAAATTTAATGGAAAGAATTCTTAACTAGGAAAAGGTGGCTAATGACTGAAAGGGATAAAAGAAGAAATACGGGAACAGCGAATGCGAGGGTTGTCCCAGAGGCAGCCCCTCAAAGATGGGCCTGGGGCGGGGGGCGGGAGTGTCCTTGTGCCTGACTACAGGGCCGAGCTTGCCAGTGAGAGGTGGGAGGCCGGCCACCCATGTGTGCAGTGGCCTCGCAACGCATCGGGCCATCCCCTGTGCTGTTGTGAAGGTGTGGGTGCTGCCCTGTGTGACCACCGCAGCTAGCGCGGGGGCTCACCTCGGCATCCTGCAGCACCAGCAGGAGGAAACGCCAGGGTTAGGCCTTCCAACACTCAGCTCAAGTCACAGCCAGGGGGTCAGAGGAGTGCCATGGGAACCCTGACGCACCTTCGTTCCTTGTGGCCTCAGGGCTGACGCTGCTGAGAGAGGAGAGAGGCAACGTCTAACCATGTGGGTTGCAGAATTACCCGTCAGTTCAGGGCACATCCTTGCCAGGATCCTCATGTGAAAATTAAAGCAACGGCCGCAGAGAACAGACCTCTGGAACGAGGAAGAGCTCAGCCCTCCTGAGGCCCAGGCCTCCGCAGAGGGCGTGGCTGCAGCCGCTGGGTGCGGGGAAGCACCCCAGGGCGCACATGGCAGGAGCTCTTCTGCAAGAAGCTAACTACCCCGGTGCAGGAGGAACTCGCAGGCCCTGGGGTGGCCTTCCAACCAGGATGTGACAGAGTAGCACTTGGCCCCAGGTGTTCTGGCCTCAGCATGGGACCCCCAGTCCACACACCAATCCTTACCTTCCTTGAGATTCAGAGGAGACTCATTCAGTGTGGGAGTGTCAGCCCAGCTGTGGCAAAGGGTTCCATGCCCACCACCGGCCTGGGCAGGGCTTGGGGAGACAAGTTCCACAAAATGACAAAAGTCTTTGTCCTCCCCCTATCCCCCATCCCTGCACAGCCCTGTCCCCAGACGCTATTCAGTCCCACAGGTCCCCTGGCCGCCACCAGATCTTCTCTGTGTGTGATCTTCTCTTTCCTGGTGGTCTGAGCACTGTTGGGCCCCCTGCGGTACCCCCACTTCTGAAGCCTGAACATCGTGGCCCTGCCCAGAGGGGCAGGACCAGGGAATGCATCACCTTCCGCCTCCCAGCTGACACAATGCAGTGCCCATGGCGTCTCCACCAGGGGGCAGCCCAGCCCTGCTGACGGCTCCCGTGCCTGGCCCTGGGGCCCCGTGGAAGAGGCGTCTTCTCCCCAGAGCTAGAGATGGTTAGCTCCCACCCAACAATTTGGGGGCAGGGGTTTGAATAGGAAATGCCTGGGACTGCAGATCCTAACGACATGCTGTCACCACCGAGCGCCTTCCCGGGGAAGCAGCCTCCCAGTGCAACTCCCTGGCTTCCCGGCCCAAGGACAGGAGGTCTGATCTACTTGGGGTTGCCTTCTCATTGGGACAGTCTTTCCTCCTGGTGCTGAAGCCTTGAATTTCACAGCAAGTTTTGCAGAGAATTTATTCAAAGGTCTTTGCTCCATCCCTATGTCACCACATCTCCTGCTGCTTGGCAACCCCACTCTTCTGAGGGACTCAGGCTCAACGCTGTGCTTGACCCCAGCTCGAGCCCATCTGGGGCCCATCTGTGCACCATTTCTCAAGGCTGTGTCTGCACACCCACGGCAGGCCATGGCCCTGAGTGCTGTCTGAACACGTGGCCCTGGAGCTGGAGCCCGGCGCGCACCTGGGGCAGGGTGTCCTGGGCACAGTGTCACAGGTGGGTGGTGTCCTGGGTGGGTGGTGTCCCAGGTGGGCAGCACCTGGGCCTCTGTGCTGGGTTTGGCCTCGGACCTGGGCACTCTAGGCCACGTCGACAAGTGAAGGTGTGGACTGAAGCAGCTGCTCACATCTGCAGCCACAGGCTGGAGTGACCAGAGGACCCACGTCTGCAGCCATAGGCTGGAGTGACCAGAGGACAGCACAGTCACTGAATTGCACGCTCCCTGCAGCGATCGTCTGAAGCCAGCTGTGGTGTGACAGGCTGGAGTGACCAGAGGACCCACGTCTACACAGCACAGTCACTGAATTGCACGCTCCCTGCAGCGATCGTCTGAAGCCAGCTGTGGTGTGATCAAACAAAAGCATGTCTCCTTCCTAGACCAGTGTGGACAGAGAATGGAGAAGGGCTCCTGAAGCCAAGAGGACAGCCCGGGCCTCTCGGGCTGCGTCGGGACCAGGACTGGGCCCATGGGACGACCTCAGACGTAGCGCTCACCTGCGACGCCAGACCACACTTCAGAGGCAACAAGAGGTTTTTTGCTGGTGCCAGAAAGACAATTACCAAGTCTGTCACCTTGCTCGTCATTAATGAGGAGAGGCAGAGGGTCTCAGCGCGGCTCCCACGAGCTCTGCTGACCACCATCTTCTGCTCCCAGCCTCAGCGCTGGGCTCTGTTGCGCCAACGCCTCCTTGGCCTCCAACTTCCATGTGAACCGTCACCAGCGAAGGCATCAGGCGGGAGAGGCGCCAGTGGCCAAAGAGGGCAGGTGGGCTGTGCATCTGACAGGGTTCGCGTGTGGGCACAGTCATTCCCAGTGTTGACGCCAGTCGAGTGTTTAGCCTTCTTTAAAAAAATTTTATTGTGTGAAATATACATGATATGAAAGTTGCCATTTTAACCATTTTTCAGAGCACCATCCAGTGGCGTTGAGCACATTCACACTGTTGTGAAGCCGTCACCCCCACCCACCTCCAGAATTCTTCATCTTCTCAAACTGAGTCTCTGTCCCCATTAAACACCAACCCCGCATCCCCTCCCAGCCCCT